GTGGGTCTACAGTGGGTCTACAGTGGATCTACAGGTGGATCTACAGTGGATCTACAGTGGGTCTACAGTGGATCTACAGTGGATCTACAGGTGGATCTACAGTGGGTCTACAGTGGGTCTACAGGTGGATCTACAGTGGGTCTACAGTGGGTCTACAGTGGGTCTACAGTGGATCTACAGTCGATCAGAACTAACGGTTTGTGTATCTGGTGTTTGTGTATCTGGTGTTTGTGTATCTGGTGTTTGTGTAACTGGTGTTTGTGTAACTGGTGTTTGTTGTGCTGACGTTGCAGAGACGCCTCTCTGATGGCCATGAGGAGGAGAATCGAGGGTCTCACCCCAGAGGAGATCAGGAACCTGTCCCGGGATGAGATGCACATGCCAACCACCATGGAGGACTTTGAGTCCACTTTGAGGAAAGTCTCCAAGTCCGTGTCTGCAGCCGACCTGGAGAAGTACGAGAAGTGGATCGAGGAGTTTGGATCCTGCTGAAGGACTACAGAATCCCAGTTTTCTCTGGTGTCGGTTAAATGTGGAGCAGGTCTGAGTCCAGCTTTAGTTTTTACATCACAAATCAAACATTTCCTCAGGAAAATGTTCTTTGTTCAAACAGATAATTAAATTAAAATAATGCTTTTTTTTTTCTTGTTTTTATTTGGAAGCACATTCTGTGTGTTTCTGGTTCATGTTAATTCCTCTGAATGTAACTAAGATATTTATAAATAAAGACTCGGGTTTCCTTTAGTTTCAGCTGGTCCTGTTGATCCGGACCACCTCACTGAGGCCAAGTGTTCAAACAGAACTTCAGACAGAACTTCAACAACCACCAGATAAAGGATCAGTTTGTGCACACAGAAAACATAAGGATCTGATGTTTGAAGAAATGAAAACCTTTATTTCAGCCACAGTTCTCTGCACTAAAAGCTCATGTAGAGTTTCAGATCATGTTTGTTTTATTGCTGCTGTCAGTCATGCAGTTTCAACAGGTCAACATGCACGTTTCTAGTTTCCATCAGTCATCATGCACTGTGCCTGACCTCTGCATCATTTCTGCTCTGTTCGGGGGATTAAAAACTAATGAGTTCAATCAGATGTGATTCAGAGGAAGGCAGTGAGTCCTTCTGTAAAACATCTGATGAAAGAAACTTCAGGAATATTATAAATCATAATCCAGTCTTTTTTAAATGTCACTGTTTTATGATTTGTGTAAAACTGATGTCATGTTTTTATTACAGATCTCTCTTGTAAATGAGCCTACATGTCTAAATAAATAAATAATATTGTATAAAACTGAACCTTTATTTTTAAGGTTTGACAAAGAAAAGTTCTCAGTAAAGATGGTTTTAGTCATGAACAGTGGTGGCTGACAGGCATTCATTAAAACACTTCAACCTTTGAAATTCCCCAAACATACAGGACGTAAGAGTTTTATGAGACTAATTCAATCAAAACTTACAGCTTCTTTTGTAAAGTGGAACAAAAAACAACAGAAACCATTAAAAAAGCATCATGTTGATTCAGTAAAACACCTGCTAAACACACTGGTCTCATCCTGAAACTGGTTCATGCAGAGAACTGGATCCCTCTGACTCCAGCAGAGGAACATCCTGAACGAACTCACGAGTTCTTCAGCAGCTCGTGTGAAGAACTGAAATCATCTGAGGCACTGTGAAGGACAGCCACTGATGATGATGATGAAATAAAAGCCTTCATCTAACAGACCTGCGTAGGTTCGTCAGATTAAATAAAGTTCTCATCTTGTTTCCAGTTAAAGGTCAGCAGACATGAAGACAAAGTCTGCTGACCTGTAGGGACCTGCTGCACTCGTGGTGTTTGTGAACACAAGTCAGCTCCTTAAATCAGTTTGTTCTTCGTTTTAAAGTTCAGAGGATTTTTTAAAAACAATTTAAATATATACATATAAAATAAAAAGCAAAACTTCACAAAAACTGCTGCCTGTGATTCTAGGATTTCATCGTTTTTTGCAGAAAAAGCAACTAGATACAGGAAGTGAGAAAGTTACAGTTCCTCTGCCTCTTTATGGTTTTAATTGTCAAATCAGTTAGGATCTATATAAATTGGCCTTTTGTGAAAAAAAAACTTCAATGTGAAATCATATTTCTACAAAGAAACACTAATAAAATAAAAATATATCTAAAGCAAAACAAGTGATTTCATGAATCCAGAATTACTCAATGACCAAGTAGAACAGTGAAAGGTCACTAATCCTGATTTATATCTGCTGTTTCCACCTCCAGTCAGAACCAGTCCACCAGGCATGGAGCTGTGACTGGTCTGAACTCTGTGGGCCAACATTACAACTGGTCCAGTACAACTGATACACATATCTGTAGACACACAGCTCTATAACATAACTGAAAAAATAACTAAGTAAAAGTAAAATTACCTGAACAGAAAATAACTTTGGTAAAAATAAATATTACTGATGAAAAAAACTACTTAAAGGAACAGTGTGTGGGATTTTATCAATTCTTTTAGCAGAAATTGAGATAATCACTAATGACAATAATAAAAACATGTCTAATTATTGCAGACAAAGAC